TCGGGATGCACTCGCACAACTCCCCTCGGATGCACTCGCACAATCCCCTCGGGATGCACTCGCACAACTCCCCTCGGGATGCACTCGCACAACTCCCCTCGGGATGCACTCGCACAACTCCCCTCGGGATGCACTCGCACAACTCCCCTCGGGATGCACTCGCACAACAGATAACATTTAATACTCGTATGAATTTTCAAACACACTGCATCATCCTTGCACTCAGTCCTCAACTTCAACCACAGTTGGACAAGGAAAATCCCATCCCCCAATACAATAGAAATCTAATAACTAACCTTCTCTTTCTTAAACCAGGTAAAGATCCATCACAACATGCATCATAACCACTTATTTCACTACTATCTTGCCTATGATTTCGAGTCAAAAGTTTACCTTCATTTCAAGCAAACTTCAGACCTCATTATTCTACCTCAGACGAAATATGCTTAGAGCATACAATTCACTCGTATCTTAAAAAAGAATGTCACCAGTGAAAAGCAAGGGCACCGTGGTTGCTACAAGAGAACATTATATCAACATCAGTAGGCCCAAACTATTCAACAATCCTCAGAAAATATCAAACACTGCTGAAACCAGTGAAGAGGTTTTCAAGAGGAAACTAGGCATGTGCCGAACTGACCAGGCTGTAATGGATATGTGGGCCAGCAGCAACGTCCAGATTGATCGAGAAGCATCAGACAAGCCTAGTTCAGGTTTGAAATCTCTCGAAACCCATAAAGGATCACAAATATAAAGATTCATCAGTCTCCTCAAAAAATACTCTCGCATCAGGGAACAAGAAACTGAATGTGCAAGAATGGTATATAATACCGACAAGATGAAATTAAGACATGTGCATCATCTGGGTATCTTTATTGTAGACGTTTCGCCATCCAGTGGCTTTATCAATACAAATTCTAGGACATAACTTGAAGACAGTAGGACTATATACAGAAGATGAGGTAATCAGTCCCTCAACCTAGGAGTAGGTGCGAAGAGCACCGTAGTCGTGGAGATTCTGAAGCAGAAGTAAGGAGCCTGGCGCTTATATAGTGACGTCAGGTGTAGCAGACGAGGGCATAGTCACTGGTAGGCGGAATTCCCCAGTGGAAGTAGGTCCTTCCCAAAGAGATGGGTTAGTTGTAGTAGTAAGCGCCAGGCTCCTTCTGCTTCAGAATCTCCACGACTACGGTGCTCTTCGCACCTACTCCTAGGTTGAGGGACTGATTACCTCATCTTCTGTATATAGTCCTACTGTCTTCAAGTTATGTCCTAGAATTTGTATTGATAAAGCCACTGGATGGCGAAACGTCTACAATAAAGATACCCAGATGTTGCACATGTGTCTTAATTTCAAGAAACTGAATATTCATTCGGTTGATCTTATCTCACCAGCAGAACCTCTTAAGTTTTTTATAAGGCAGTTTTTAACGTGTACCAGAAAGATCGATTCTAAACTCGTTTCACAACATTTCTTGTTAGCCTATCAAATGTATCCGGTACATATCACCGTATATGCTGATGATAAAATATTATATTACTGTGACAACACTTTAGTGTCCACAACAATGACAATGCACACTAAACCATCTAAATTCTAAATGGATACACGAATGGGGCTGCAAATCAGTGTAGAGAAAAACTAGGAATATACCTTAATTCGCTACTCTCGCCTAGAAAAAACCCACCACACATCCAACACGCCATCCAGTCTAGGTTACCATCATCAGAGCCCTAACTGGCACACCCTGAGGAGAGCACCGAAAAATTATGCTCCAATTCTACACTACTTACATCCGCAGCTAAACCGACTACTGCTGCCAAAAATACGCATCAAACCTCCAAAATATGGGACACAATACAAAACAGCTGGCAGGGCGCCCAGTTCACACGAGGGTAAGTGGTTCGATCTCCGGAAATCATGGGAATGTTTCCCTACACTTGGTACTCCTGTTCACATATTAGTATGTAGGTACCTGGGTGTTAGTCGATTAGTGTGGGTGGTAGGACAGCAGCTCTTAGCCTACTGTAAATTTAACTGCTTAAAAAAAGTGACATGCGAATCATTTGTAGGCCTCTAAAGAGAATTAGTACTCATAACTCCAAGCCACAAGGACAGTGTATGTAAACCAACTTTCCCTTTGCATTTCGGCCTATCAAACACATTTATACGTAAGCCCCGTCGTCACCATTTTCAACGAACCCACCACATCAACCACTCGTAACCTATAACCTCACCTCGCATCTAAGCAACTTTCCAAAACTGCAAAAATCAACCAGCAATTCTGCCACTTTCCCCGTTGAACTACAGTAATTATCTCTAACACTAATACACCTTGGCAATAATATTACCAAAACAATACCAAGTGAAAATAGAAGTTTCTACTTGTATATCCATAATCTGAATTATTTACCACTCAGTATACCAGACACCTAGACAGATGGATCACGAATACTCAAAAAATTTACAGCCTCCGTTACACAGCACTGTGGGGAGTCTTCTCTTTTGTCTCAAAATGGGATCGAAATTACCTATAGAACTTGTTAGCAAACTTGTATGGGATTTATTAGTTCTTTACATTAATACGCTACCAGCTGGAAATTATTCATTTTGCACCAACTCCAAAAGTGCTCTACTGAGTATTATTCCAAAACTTGCAAGGAACTTGTATATCCATGCTTGACATTCCTGCACGAACAACATTCCGAAGGATATGATATATCTGTTCAGTGGGTACCCGCACACTGCGGAACAATAAACAGCAAATTAGTTGAGCTTTGCAACTTTCAATCTCACATGCAATACGTGCTCATCAGCACACTATGGAACTATATAAAAAAAAACTTGGAAGTGTGGAAATATACAACACAAAATTAGAGTAACAGACGCTGCAATGATCGATCAAAGTTGGCTGGCACACAATTGGCTAGCAGCTACGGATCCAGAACGGATATACACGAGAACTGCACTCATAATGTTCTGGAAACTATACATTTTTTATTACACTATTTTAGACATCAGTGTGAGAACCATCTTCAAACACGAACTTGCCAGCATAAAATCCCCTTCTTTACTGAAAACATTCTGGGAGGTTGTACCTTTTTTCCTACACATTAAACAGAAGATAGTTCAGGCAGTAACCCAGCTCTTAAAAACAATTAAAAACCTGGGCATTATATAAATAGGAACACCATAAGAGCATATCAAAACTCAGCAGGAGCAAGAGAAACACAGACAACAATTCCAGTAAGCAACCCCACGGTGACAACACTAATACAACACAAATAATCACACACAACGATTCCTGCAGTTATCAGGAGAAACCTCTCGGTAAACTGATGGTATCATGCAGAAGCAACTCTCAGTGTACGTATACTGAAATATACACTCCCTTCACAGACATGTACACTGCTGTTCTCGGTATATACAGAGAGATACATCTCAGAATATACGGTGTTAGGAGAATGCTTATTACATTACATAAGTAATAAGAAAGAGTAGAATGCTAATATGCGATAGAATACATACAAGATGATAATTTCTTTAAACAAAAGTTGTCTAATAAATTATTATAAAATTCATGGGGAAGCCTTTAACCCGTAGGGGTCATACAGCTCCAGGGGAACTGGAGGTAATCAGATTCAATCCAAGGAATAGGAGGATAGCTCCAATCCTCTGGATTGGAGTAACATGAAGTAGAATTATTATTATAATCAAGGGGAAGCGCTAAACCCGGAGGATTATACAGCGCCTGGGGGGGGGATGTGGAAGGCATTCAGGCTTAATTCGGGGAACTGGAGCACAGATCCAATTCCCTAAATCAAGAGCCCCTCACCAACATCAAGGAACCTTCCTTGAGGGGAACATGAAGTAGAAGCTTAGCACCAAACATTTACCTGGAGTATACCTGGACACGGATTTCAGGGGCCAACGCCCCCGCGGCCGGGTCTGTGACCAGGCCTCGAAACTCTCAATAAAAAATATATATATAACCACATAACCCTAATGAAAGTCCTTAACCAAATTAAAAGTATTTTGAAAACAAACCGGAAAATGTCGATGATTAAGCTGAAGCTGCCGTCTCGTGCCAGCACTGTAGCAAGACGGTAATGTTTCTGCTTCCTTAGGATACGTGTAGTTGAGAGTCTGCTTCTCCTGATTCCTTCACGAGCTGTGTTGTGTCCTCACTCGTGCTTGCTCACTGACGTTTCATGTTGTTGATGAATGTACCTGACCCGTGAGGCTCCGTGTTGACACTGGTCCAGCTGACTGGGTCAACATGGCCGCCTACCTGGTCGCTTACACTCACACTACTTGCCGTAAACATATTGGTTGTTTAATGGTGGTTAAAGCACTATTGACTACACTAGGGTTTTCTCGTAACCTTCTCACCACCATATAAGAATACTTTAATCCCTAAAACTCTCGGTATATATAAGCTAAGAGAAATATACCTCTGTGTGTATATATCCTGTACTTTAGCATGTTCCCGCAGGCATGGTGTTGAATACCACGACCATGTACACGACGAGAGTTGAATACCAAGACCACACATTAAATCGTGACAGCCGCGACAGTCAAATTAAGTTATCGCCTTAGTGTTGTTGACACTTTCTCTTTAAGGAAAAAAGAACACCTGATGATACGTGAAAATCAATCCGATGAATTACTTTATCTAAATCCATATGTTGTCGATTATGTTTTCATACTTAATATATGAACGTCGAGTGGTAGACAGAGGCCATAGATCTACTTAGTCTGTAAATTATGAATTTCTTTAATGAAAGAAAACAATAACTGCTAAGAGAGAGAGTGAGAGAGAGAACATGGTACCTACAATGAGACAGAATGAGATACAGACAGATATCCCTGTCTACAAATAATTTTCCTGTCGTAAGCGACTCTGCGGACAACCTGTAGATATACATGGGAGATTTACACGAGAGATATACACAGAGAATATGTAAAAAGCCTACAGAAGAGTCAATGAAACAATTGCTAAGCTCAAATATACATATATATTTTGTACTGTATTTAAGACATGTCTTGACAACACATTCTGAAGCACAACCTTATAGGAATTTTCTCACTAAAAATGATATATTTGCTTACTCTTAACAATGGTAGGAAAATTAGAATTGTGGTGGTAATTGTAATAGTTGTAGTATCTGTAATAGTATTACTGGTGGTGGTACAGAAATAGTAGCGATAATAGCAATAATAGTAGTATTAGTGGTAGTCATGATAGCTGTAATAGTAGCAGAGGCAGTAGTAAGTAGCTATTGTGGTAGTAATGGTAATAGTAGTTATAGTAGTAAGTAGCTGTTGTGGTAGTAGTGGTGGTAGTAATAGTAGTAGTAGAGGTAATAGTAATGTTAGTGGTAATACTAGAGATGGCAGTCGTAATAATATTAGGAATAGTACCACTATAGTAGTAGTAACCACAATTAACATTAGAATTATTTTTATAATTATTATATTTAGAGAGAAGCGCTAAACTCGCAGGGAAGGGGGGGGGGTCAAAACAGCGCTTAGGGAATGCAAGGTAATAGGCTTTGATCCCAGAAAGAAGAGAACGGACCCTCACCAGCATCAAGGCACTTCCCCCGTGAAAGGAATCCGCCATATGAAGACTGAGAACCCTGAACCTACGCTCTCTTGAAACCTGGCGAACAGAACTATCTTCTTGGCAATAAAGATACTCACGTGTTGCGCATTTTATCCAGCATGGATAGAACACTGAACATACGCATGATATTCATCATTCTGATTATTATAATGATCAAAACTAAGCGCTAAAACCCATAATGATCATACAGCACTGCACGGTGATTCTGAGATCTAAAAAAAATATTGGGATTCTGTAGGACATAGTGGCACTGGACAGCTTGTATGTATACGGTGGATGGGATTAAGCTCCGATACATCAATTTCAATAAGATAAATTAGTAATAAAAGGTAGAATTACCGACAGTATGTTAGGCAGAGGGAAATGTGTGCAACGAATGTGGCAGTGTGGCAATGTTTCGCTCTTCAGGTGCTCCTGGAAAGAGAGACGCTGCCACAATGTCACATTAGTTGAAGTTTGGAAATTAAGTTTTAGTGTAAAATAAACAAAGGTGAATCCTGTGCTCACTTGAATGTATCATGTAAGGCATAAAATTAAATGCTCTAATTTCTGCAATTTTAAGGCAAGACAGCGGGATTGAGAGAATAATAACAGTTATTTTTACATTTCAGGTAGTGTACAGCAGTGCCACCTTGTGGCACAGCAGGGACACCACCTGACACAGCAGGGCCACCTTGTGGCACAGCAGGCTACCACCTGACACAGCAGGGCCACCTTCTGACACAATGGCGACTTCTTCTATTGGTTGTAAGGACGGATAACAGAGATGGTGGATCGTGGCTGATTTTGGTAACTCAGGTGATTGGTTGGCTGAGAAGCTTTTTTTTTTACGCTTAGAGGCTTATTTGCTGAGAGGCTGGTTGGCTGAAAGGTTGAGAGGCTGGTTGGCTGTTGTGGATGATGGCTGACTGATGGTTGGATGGGAGGTTAACTGGTAACAACGTAAGAGTCTCATGAGAGGAGTCCGCCAGGACGGCTAATACCCTCCCATGTTCTTGTCGAAGTAGAACGGATCTGCCGAGGAGACAAGGTGTCAGACCAAGTGTCAAATTGAATGTGTCAACCCAGGTATCAGACCAGGTGTGTGTGTGTGTGTGTGTGTGTGAATGTGTGTGTGTGTGTGTGTGTGTGTGTAAGACCAGTTGTGAGACCTAGGCCTATTGGTTCGTGTTAGGCAGGTTCTTCCCAAAACAAAGAAATTGGAAGGTAGCTCTATTTCCTTGAATCAAGAGATCTTCACGGCATCCGCGTGTCCTTCTTGAAGGGAACAATTTCCAATGATAATTTTTGTTGCAGTTATATTTTTTTTAGTTTTTGCACTGGCTGTAGTTGCATTTGTTGTTGTTTTTGTTATTGTTATAAATGGAAAGAAACAGGCTACCATTGTACTGGGAATTAATTAATCTCGTGATATAACTAGGGTGAACAAGGGGTGTCCATCCCCCTCTCAAACACAAAGTGTACACATTCCTTCTGGTTAAGGTTTAACATCACCGATAACCTCAGACACTTGGTCACAATACCACTTAAACAACTGCGAGTAGTTACCCAGTCACAGGTTCAACTCTCAACAACTGATGTGCGCTGTAAAAGAACATAAGAGTACACTGACAAGTATTTTATGATATTTTATTAAAGGGATACGACTCAGGGAGATCAATATTTATCGTAAGGGAGAACTGAGTATACAGGAGATAATAAGGTAAAGCTGTCAGTGCTTTTTATGTCTTAACTTGAAGGGAGAGGGAGCTGGACTGATACCTGAAGTCAGTACCTGACCAGCCGGCCTGGTCAGGTACTGACGCTGGTTTGCGCGTGGCCAGCAGTAACAGCCTGCTTGATCAGGCCCTCATCCACCGCTAGGCCTGGTCATGGACCGGGCCTCGGAGGCGTTGGCCTCCGAAACACTCTCCAGATAGACTCCTGGGCTCATCCTGGGTATCTCACAAGTTACGTTTTACCAGGAATCTGTTAACCTACCGTTTACCAGGAATATATTAACCCACCATTGTACCGGGAATATGTTAACCCATCATTGTACCGGTAATATGTTAACCTACCCTCGTACCGGGAGAGCTAAAACGTAGTGTTGTACCGGGTTAATTTAAACGTACCGTTGTAGCGGGAGAGGTTCGCGTAGGCGCAACACTGACGGTAAACATCACAGCAGCGTCTGTGTTTCTCAGCACTCAGCAGACTGCAGAACTTGGCTCGACACAGCTTCTCATCCTCCTTCCTCAATCTGCGGGGTGAGAAACGTGAGATAGAGAGATGAAGGGAAGATAAAAAGGAAAGACGCAAAAGATAAGATTAAAAAGAGATGAAGGAAGATAGAAATAGGAGATAAAGGGGAGAAAATAGTAGATATAAAAAATATGGTAAATGGGAGATAAGGGGAAGATAAAGGGATGAGATATTAGTGGAAATAAAGGGGAGATAAAAAGATGATGATGAAATGATACAGAGGAAGATAGATGGGAAAATAAATAAAGAGAAAAAGGAAGAAATTGGGAAATAAAGGAGGGGGGATATGAAAGAAAGATGAAGGGGGGGGGGGGAAGAATGAAAAATACAAAGAAGATTAACGTGATAACCAAAAAAAGGGAAGGCGAGGAGTATATAAATGGGAAATTTGTGCCACACCTGGGTATCTTTTCTATGAAAACGTTTCGCCCAACCAGCGGTTTCTTCAGTCCAATACAGAGAAGAACGGTGGGAGATGCCTAAGTGATGCACGAGTGTCTTATCCATCAGAAAGTGAGGGAAGTGACAGGTAAAGGGAGTGTCAGAGGAGGTAAATGGCATGGAACGGGTGGGTAAATTGCGGGAAACGGTACGTTAGGTGGAAACTAAGTCAGTTTTGTTTAAAGAATGCTTAACTACTTTAGATGGGCCTCAAAGGCCACAGAAGATTAAAAAATCACAGGAAGTTAAATGACTGCGAAGGGGGGGCGTTAAAAGGCCCTCAGGCGACGCTGAAGACATCGATCTCACTCACACATCGTTGTAGCTTCTTGGAGGCTGGCCGGGACCCGCTGACCCAGGCTTGACCAGAGAATAACTCGGGGGATGATGATACCAGGTTCGCGGCTTGGTTTGGAGTCTGGGTTGTGGTTTGGCGTGGGCTCTGGTCTGGAGTCTGGTCTGGGGATTGGTCTGGGGCTGGTCCGCCTGCACGTGTGGTTTTGAGACTTCTTGAAGAGGAAGAGACCTACAGAAGACAAAAACCAAACATGAACTGGAAAGTTGTTTGTTTAAAAGGCGATAAATAGTTTACAATGGCGCTAAACTGTTTACATATTGCTCAACATTTTACAAAGATAATGAAGGGCTCACCTAAATTCATGTATCTACATATGAATTTGGGTGTTCACAAGTGCTTATGGTGAACACATAGTTTCCACACGTGTGTCTAAGGCTTAAAACTTTGTATATGAAACACCAGAGATGTTCATAGACATTAAAATGAAGTATTGTCCGTGTACATGTGTATATATAAACTCTCACTGGAGACCATAGATGTACGTGTGTGTGTATACTGACACTCATAAATGAGCTCAGACTCTTACAAAACGTACACAGATGCTCGCATTTGTTTCACTGGTGTATGTAGGTTTTCCTAACGTGTACAGAAGCACCCACAGATGCAGGTTCTCTCTCTCTCTCTCTCTCTCTCTCTCTCTCCTCTCTCTCTCTCTCTCTCTCTCTCTCTCTCTCTCTCTCTCTCTGTCTCTCTCTCTCTCTCTCTCTCACAAACCTAGAGGGCTGATGGTTTTCTGAAGCTGAAATGTCTGAAGCCTCCTGTGGAGTCGTTGAAGACTTTCTTGGAGTTTCTGAAGGCTTCCGCGGAGCCTCTGAAGGCTTCCGTGGAGCCTCTGAAGGCTTCCGTGGAGCCTCTGAAGGCTTCCGCGGAGCCTCTGAAGGCTTCCGTGGACTTGGCAGTGGGTATGGCAAATTTATTTTTGCTTCTCCAAACGTGAATGGGCCTTGGAAAAAACGGTAATTACTTTAATTAATAATTCTGAAGAAAATAATTCTGCAAGTATAATAATAATATGTTTCATCATATATACACTGAGAATTTATTTCATTCTCGTTTTTTTTAGGGATTAAGTCATTTTTAATTGATGGTGAACAAGTGACATTCAGCCTTAATGACGTTGGATTATACTAAGGATGATAAATATCCCATGAAGGAGTAACAAATCCCAGGTTTGGTATACTCATTCTTGGGCTGGTATACTTACTTTTTGGGACAATTTATTCACGGAGAAAAACAAGAGACACGAATACAATATAATGCGATCCTTTATTGACAACGTTTCGGCCATACAAGTGGGCTTTATCAAGTTACAAACAGATCTACTTGGTGAGAGAGAGGTTGTGTGTAGTGACGTGAAAGGTCAGGTGAGGAATGTTGAAGCTGACTTTTTGAGTAAACTAATGACAGGTCGGACTAATATATGGCTGAGAAGAAGTTGGGTTCGAGAGGGACCTGCCTGGGATGGGCCAGTAGGCCTGCTGCAGTGTTCTTCTATTATATGACCTCTTGCTAAGTGGGATACAGATGAAGTGTCTGGCAAGAGGCTCAACCATGCTGAACAAGCAGTTGTGGTGGAAACTGTTGGACATGTTGATGACTGATGATTCTAAGATGCCGCATCTATGAGTGTCTTCCTTCTTGATGAGTCGTGCGTCCTTGTAAGAGGGTGATATAATTCCTCAGAGGGTAATATAATTCTGCAGAGGGTGATATAATTTCTATAGGATGGCTGATATATTATTCTTGGGGACTGAAAATGTCACAGTGACTTACTGTTATACTTACCCTGAGGACTCGTATATAAACCCGAGGACCGATATATTCAGCCTGAGGAATGATTTACTCACCAGAAAACTGATATACTCATCCTAGGGACTGGTATATTCCTCCTGATGATATACTCACCCAGATTGCTGGCATACTCAACGTAGGCGCAGCAGCGGTGGTAGTTGGAGCAACAATATTGCCAGCGTGCCGGGGGCATGATGCCACAGAGTGAGGTTCTGCAGAACTCTATTCCCCAGATGTCCACCATCCTGGGGAGAAGGCGAGAGGGTTCAAGGGGTAGAGAGGGGCGGGAGGGGAAACAAGGAAGTAGAGTCTAATAATACATCCAGAGTCGCGTCCAAACTAGTTTTTGGTCTCGACCTTAAACACAACATTTCTCCCGACCTGACGATGCAAAGAGCCAGAATACGTAGAATTAATTACCAGCTTCATTTATTCTTTCTGTTTATCAGACTGGCTTCACTCTTCACTGATTCAGTTTAAATAACTATAAATGAATGAATTTTAAAATCTTTTTAATTAATCAAAATGTAAAGTCTAACTTTTAAAAAAAATGGACATGAGACTACGTTAAATTTTTTGTTACGTAATAAAAATTATTAGTTGTTTGTTGGGGGAAACTCTTTCATGTTTCGATTTCATCCTGATAAATTTTAATAACTAAACAGAATGAATTTCAACAACTTTTTTAATTGGAAGTCGGGATTTTCTGCCTTAAAGTGAGTGACAGATCCCACGTTACTTTCCGTCACAGACGGAACTCCTCCGTCAGCCCACACAACAAAAATATTTCGACCACTCAATGTCGTCATTTTTTAAGATAATAATTAATCATGCTGAGAATGTCTTCTCCAGTGGTGGTAGTGTAAGGAATGTCCTCTCCAGTGGTGGTAGTGTAGGGGATGTCTTTTCCAGTGGTGGTAGTAGTGTAAGGAATGTCCTCTCCAGTGGTGGTAGTGTAGGGGATGTCTTTTCCAGTGGTGGTAGTAGTGTAAGGAATGTCCTCTCCAGTGGTGGTAGTGTAGGGGATGTCTTCTCCAGTGGTAGTAGTGTAAGGGATGTCTTCTCCAGTGGTAGTGTAAGGAATGTCCTCTCCAGTGGTAGTAGTGTAAGGAATGTCCTCTCCAGTGGTAGTAGTGTAAGGGATGTCTTCTCCAGTGGTAGTAGTGTAAGGAATGTCTTCTCCAGTGGTAGTAGTTTAAGGAATGTCTTCTCCAGTGGTAGTAGTTTAAGGAATGTCCTCTCCAGTGGTAGTAGTGTAAGGGATGTCTTCTCCAGTGGTGGTAGAGTAGGGGATGTCTTCTCCAGTGGTGGTAGAGTAGGGGATGTCTTCTCCAGTGGCAGTAGTGTAAGGAATGTCCTCTACAGTGGTAGTAGTGTAAGGAATGTCCTCTCCAGTGGTAGTGTAAGGGATGTCTTCTCCAGTGGTGGTAGTGCAGGGGATGTCTTATCCAGTGGTGGTAGTGTAAGGAATGTCCTCTCCAGTGGTAGTGTAAGGAATGTCCTCTCCAGTGGTAGTAGTGTAAGGGATGTCTTCTCCAGTGGTAGTGTAGGGGATGTCTTCTCCAGTGGTGGTAGTGTAGGGGATGTCTTCTCCAGTGGTGGTAGTGTAAGGAATGTCCTCTCCAGTGGTAGTAGTGTAAGGGATGTCTTCTCCAGTGGTAGTGTAGGGGATGTCTTCTCCAGTGGTGGTAGTGTAGGGGATGTCTTCTCCAGTGGTGGTAGTGTAAGGAATGTCCTCTCCAGTGGTAGTAGTGTAAGGAATGTCCTCTCCAGTGGTAGTAGTGTAAGGGATGTCTTCTCCAGTGGTGGTAGTGAAGAGGATGTCTTCTCCAGTGGTGGTAGTAAAGATGTCTTCTCCAGTGGTGGTAGTGTAGGGGATGTCTTCTCCAGTGGTGGTAGTGTAGGGGATGTCTTCTCCAGTGGTGGTAGTGTAGGGAATGTCTTCTCCAGTGGTGGTAGTGTAGGGGATGTCTTCTCCAGTGGTGGTAGTGGACAGGGCACTGTAGATGAGAAATTCCTCCAGGATGCTGTCTACTTCTTTGCACTGTGCACGAACCGAAGGTCACTCACAATGTCCACAGATTCATCAGCATGTAATGAAAAAAAACTCCCTGCATTCTTCAACGCCACTATTAATAAATTGGGCCAAAATATATTTTAAATTGAGGTCAATTCGGCGAGTGATGTTATTACTGGTAAGTGGCACTTACGCCACCTTCTTGCCAGCATTTTTTCACCACTGTCACTGTTGCTGGGTTCACCAGCCTCTCCACAACGTTATGAGACCTTTTGTACCTCGCATTACCCCTCACACCGCTAAGGAAGTTTTCTCAGGAGGATAAAATTGAATTCGAGAGAGCCTGACTCTGATTTTGCTCTACTTGAGATTCTTTTTCTTTCAAATAACTAGGTAGTTTTGCGACTGAAATATTTCACTTCATTTTCCTTCATTAATTCGTTGGTGAGGACTAAGGCCCTGTAAACACTGCAGCTTAAGGGCTGTGACGGCCCAAGAATCGTTGGGTCCATCTCACCTCTGTAAAATAAGCTACCAGAATCCCTTTGCGAATATAAAACACTTACATTACTAAATGTATTACAATAAAAAGTAAAATAAAAATATAAAATTCCCCCTCGCACTTCAATAATAAAAATAAAAATAAGTAGCAGAGTAGTCAGAAACTGGCGCATTGGTGACCCTTAACATTTCCTGTTTACATTCTCAGCTCTGTGACATAATACTTCAAACACTTAGGCTTGTGTTGCAGTTTATATTGAACTATTTTTTCATTAACGTTCAAACTTAGAAAGAAAGAAAATTTGAAATCAGATTTTCTGTACTGACATACATCAGGAAACTGTAGAATTAATAAGAAAATGTTGGATATTCTCAATGACAGAGAAAAGGCATTAGTGGTCATCAGTCAGTCACTCAGAAACACTAGTGGTCAGTCAGTCACTCAGACACTCCCTCTTAAACTCACTCATGATGACCCACACTGTACAACACCCGTCACTCACTCATGCATATCATTCACTCACATTCACCCGCTGACATACTCATACACACCATCACTCACTCACCATTAATTACATGCTAACCACATTACTCACTCAGCTGACTGTACTGGTTGCAGGAGCTGATGGGTAGTGATGAAGATGGTGAGGATGGTGGTAGTGGTGGTAGTGACGTCACGCATGGTGATGGTGCTGGTAACTCCTGTCAAGATGAAAATAACAGACAAATAAAGACCAATTAATGGATAAAACATCGTCAAGAGGACAAAAATCGGCCAATAATAATTATACTGCATAACTTTATAATATATATATATATATATATATATATATATATATATATATATATATATATATATATATATATATATATATATATATATAAGGGGGGATGGGGAAATCTTCAGCTCAAGTATTTTCACACTTCTCAGTGCATCATCAGGAGCTATGCAATGTTGCAAGGCAGTAACTGAAGGAGTGAGGGGAAGTTTTCTCAGAGTAGCTAAGTGCGGGTTTGTCACCTGCCGCAGCCTCTCGGAATGACAACCGCTGCAACTGCTGAACATCAAGAGTGTTTTGGTTGAAGAGCAAGTGTTTGGAGTGATGGGCAGGTGTCTGGAGTGACATATACGCACCTGATTACAGACAGACAGACGAGTGTGATGAGTGGCCGTCGACAGCGAGAGATGAGCTACTACTGAACAATCAGGGACCGACACCCAATCATGACCTACACCGGATGAGTGGCGACACACACACAGTGTGTGTGTGTGTATGTGCGTGTGTGTGTAACCATACATTTCCAAATGTACAGAGCACGCAGTACACTGTTGAAGCGAAACACACAATCGTTTTAGCCAAGCCAGATTAATTACGACACACTCTCTTATGATGATTAATGACTAGAGGGTAGCCTGTACACGCCACTAGTTGCGTGATTCTTTCACCCCTCATCCCTAGTTGCAGCAGTTGTCTGTCGTCGTCGTTCTTCAATCCAATTAGGAGAACGGACTTCTATCGGGCAACGTTTCGCCCTGCGTAGAGCTTGGTAAAGTACCGCTCAGGGTTACTGCATCTGCTAGACAGCCAGAAATCTATCAGACCGTCTACCGGAACAGATAACACTAATAACACTGATAACACAACACTGAAAACACAGATAACACTAATAATACATATAACACTAATAATACGCATATAACACTAGTAACACACATAAGACTGATAACACATATAACAATGATAACACTAATAACACAGCACTAATACCACAGATAACACTAATAACATTTAAGTACAGCACCGTAACACACATTGACGCCTCAAGGTGTGGGGACGAAACTGACTTTTTTTAACAAAACAAGACAACCTGGAAGACCATGCCTGGAATCTGCAATTAGTAAATTAACCAACACAAACAAAACAATGGGATGCTTGTTTTGTCACCTCCCATAACATATTAAAACACAACAAGTTGAACACAGACCAGTAGACCTCCTGCAGTGCTTGAGCAGATTTGCCCACATTTTAACAGACGACACTTGGACAAGCGACGTCATTCCTGTGGACTACTCGTATTTAAGCCGCTGTTTCTCACATGTGCGATACACTTGGAAAAAGCCCCATGTAGGGTGAAACGTACATACGAACCAAAGCCTTCACTGCACTCTTGTCTGTCTCATTAGCAGCCGCCTACCTGGAGGGTATTCCGGGGATCAACGCCCCTGCGGCCCGGTCCACGACCAGGACTGATCTAGCTAATGTTGATTGCCTTGATGAGCGCACTCGATCCCTAACACATTCATCGTTAAATATTAGTCTTAAGGTCTTACTTGGATAACCAACATTAAATACCATTGATGGCCTCTAAAAAAGCACTAGGGTCTACTTCGATGGGTCAGCTATGTCCCAAGAGGCTGTAAGCTCTGTGCAATCAATCCTCTTCCTGAATTTCTTAGTCAGCCAGTTTATCTAATCTGTTATCAGACATTGGCAGACATCCTTTAAAAAACGAAACTCATCCAATTTGAATTCACTGTTTAGAGTTGTTGATTTAGTAAGACTCAACATTGCGACTTGTCGTTGTAGTCTGATAAAATATAACACGGCGGATATCCGTATTTATTTTAAGTATTTCTGTGAAGGTCGCGTTATTTTTCTGGCCTTTCTTCACAAGTCTCATCCATCCTGTCTTAGATTTTTTGTCTCAATTTTTTTTTATACTCATTGGACTGCCCTCTGCTTTTTGTTTTATCATCCTATCTTTATATGCCTCTCTTTCCTTTCTTATCTGGATTTTTTTTTATCTTTCCGTATTGTTGCATTGAATCTCTCTCTCTCTCTCTCTCTCTCTCTCTCTCTCTCTCTCTCTCTCTCTCTCTCTCTCTCTCTGTGTTTCCTCTACCGCATTCTTCAGTTAGTCTTACAATTACATTTTTTCCTTCCCTTCTGTTTCCACTGATTCATTTATCGTCTCATTTGTTCTTCTCCCGATATCACATTTCTTGTTCTTTTTCTGAAATCAAATAGTTTCCCGTTCAGACTTACTGACTCGTCTCTTCCTGTTCCTCTCCGCTGTGGCTGTGGTGCAGCTTTGCTTTTGTTTAAGCTTCGGCTGTCATTTTTCAGGCTGTCTCCCGGCGTCCTTCCTTCTCTCAGTGCAACAACAAAAATAAACACAACAAAAGCAACAAAAAAGGAAGGGAAGTGTAGCGCCAAATTCTTAAATCAAGAACCCTTTGGTATTTGGGAATACGAGCGTGTGTGTGTGTGTGTGTGTGTGTGTGTGTGTTTGTGTGTGTGTGTGTGTGTGTGTGTGTGTGTGTGTGTATGTGTGTGTGTATGTGTGTGTGTATGTGTGTGTGTATGTGTGTGTGTATGTGTGTGTGTATGTGTGTGTGTATGTGTGTGTGTGTGTGTGTGTGTGTGTATGTGTGTGTGTATATGTACTCACCTAGTTGTACTCACCTAGTTGAGGTTGCGGGGGTCGAGTCCGAGCTCCTGGCCCCGCCTCTTCACTGATCGCTACTAGGTCACTCTCCCTGAGCCGTGAGCTTTATCGTACCTCTGCTTAAAGCTATGTATGGATCCTGCCTCCACTACATCGCTTCCCAAACTATTCCACTTACTGACTACTCTGTGGCTGAAGAAATACTTCCTAACATCCCTGTGATTCATCTGTGTCTTTAGCTTCCAACTGTGTCCCCTTGTTACTGTGTCCAATCTCTGGAACATCCTGTTTTTGTCCACCTTGTCAATTCCTCTCAGTATTTTGTATGTCGTTATCATGTCCCCCCTATCTCTCCTGTCCTCCAGTGTCGTCAGGTTGATTTCCCTTAACCTCTCCTCGTAGGACATACCTCTTAGCTCTGGGACTAGTCTTGTTGCAAACCTTTGCACTTTCTCTAGTTTCTTTACGTGCTTGGCTAGGTGTGGGTTCCAAACTGGTGCCGCATACTCCAATATGGGCCTAACGTATACGGTGTACAGGGTCCTGAACGATTCCTTATTAAGATGTCGGAATGCTGTTCTGAGGTTTGCTAGGCGCCCATATGCTGCAGCAGTTATTTGGTTGATGTGCGCTTCAGGAGATGTGCCTGGTGTTATACTCACCCAAGATCTTTTTCCTTGAGTGAGGTTTGTAGTCTCTGACCCCCTAGACTGTACTCCGTTTGCGGCCTTCTTTGCCCTTCCCCAATCTTCATGACTTTGCACTTGGTGGGATTGAACTCCAGGAGCCAATTGCTGGACCAGTTCTGCAGCCTGTCCAGATCCCTTTGTAGTTCTGCCTGGTCTTCGATCGAGTGTATTCTTCTCATCAACTTCACGTCATCTGCAAACAGGGACACCTCAGAGTCTATTCCTTCCGTCATGTCGTTCACAAATACCAGAAACAGCACTGGTCCTAGGACTGACCCCTGCGGGACCCCGCTGGTCACAGGTGCCCACTCTGACACCTCGCCACGTACCATGACTCGCTGCTGTCTTCCTGACAAGTATTCCCTGATCCATTGTAGTGCCTTCCCTGTTATCCCTGCTTGGTCCTCCAGTTTTTGCACCAATCTCTTGTGTGGAACTGTGTCAAGCGCCTTCTTGCAGTCCAAGAAAATGCAATCCACCCACCCCTCTCTCTCTTGTCTTACTGCTGTCACCATGTCATAGAACTCCAGTAGGTTTGTGACACAGGATTTCCCGTCCCTGAAACCATGCTGGCTGCTGTTGATGAGATCATTCCTTTCTAGGTGTTCCACCACTCTTCTCCTGATAATCTTCTCCATGATTTTGCATACTATACATGTCAGTGACACTGGTCTGTAGTTTAATGCTTCATGTCTGTCTCCTTTTTTAAAGATTGGGACTACATTTGCTGTCTTCCATGCCTCAGGCAATCTCCCTGTTTCGATAGATGTATTGAATATTGTTGTTAGGGGTACACATAGCGCCTCTGCTCCCTCTCTCAATACCCATGGGGAGATGTTATCTGGCCCCATTGCCTTTGAGGTATCTAGCTCACTCAGAAGCCTCTTCACTTCTTCCTCGGTTGTGTGCACTGTGTCCAGCACTTGGTGGTGTGCCCCACCTCTCCGTCTTTCTGGAGTCCCTTCTGTCTCCTCTGTGAACACTTCTTTGAATCTCTTGTTGAGTTCTTCACATACTTCCCGGTCATTTCCTGTTGTCTCTCCTCCTTCCTTCCTTAGCCTGATTACCTGGTCCTTGACTGTTGTTTTCCTCCTGATGTGGCTGTACAACAGTTTCGGGTCAGATTTGGCTTTCGCTGCTATGTCATTTTCATATTGTCTTTGGGCCTCCCTTCTTATCTGTGCATATTCATTTCTGGCTCTACGACTGTTCTCCTTATTCTCCTGGGTCCTTTGCCTTCTATATTTCTTCCATTCCCTAGCACACTTGGTTTTTGCCTCCCTGCACCTTTGGGTAAACCATGGGCTCATCCTGGCTTTTTCATTACTCCTGTTACCCTTGGGTACAAACCTCTCCTCAGCCTCCTTGCATTTTATTGCTACATATTCCATCATCTCATTAACTGGTTTCCCTGCCAGTTCTCTGTCCCACTGAACCCCGTTCAGGTAGTTCCTCATTCCTGTGTAGTCCCCTTTCTTGTAGTTTGGCTTCATTCGTCCTGGCCTTCCTGCTTCTCCCTCCACTTGTAGCTCTACTGTGTATTCGAAGCTTACAACCACATGG